GTACAAAGTACGATTGTAGGCCCATGTCGTTAGGGCGGCCTCTGTGATTTTTCCAATCATTATTACACTTTAGCAACGGCGTGGCGTGAGTCATGCTTATAGTCGTGTTTGATGAGTTATATTATTATAGTATGGCATTACTCGTATATACGTGCAAAAATGGCGTCGGTGACGATAAGGCCCGGTGAACATTGGCCGGGAGTGGAAATATTAGATAAACCGTTTGGAAAACACAATATTTTCCCCGTCCGTGGGAGACCGTCGCCGGCGAAAACGTGACTTTCGGCCGTTACTCTTATCCAATCGAATTGTCTTTTATAAGCAAGAAGCCTCGAACGCTTGCATGAAATTTCACACACACACACACAAACATTGGCTGTTTCCACCCCAATAGATTTTTTTCATACCTACGTCCATTCAAAATACTTCTATCCGCACTGTCACATAGATGTACTGTTCTGAGTTGTATTTTTGCTTTCCGTTATACATTGTCCCCGATCCACTTTATCACTAACCTATGACCCTCCCCCACATCGATAACTCCATATTTTTCCCACGTCAAACTGTCAAAATAAACACACGCACGCCGCCGTTGATAAATCGAATTCGCCTACAAATGGTTTATATATTATTATAATATATAACAGTACATACTTTATATTATTATAGTAACCGTGTGCGTGTCTTGGCTATACATTTAGTTTCGATGCGAAGCTGGGAACGTGGTATTGGTTATACATTGTAAGTTTAGCGAGTTCACGCGATATTATTTCTGCGATTGTTATCATTGCGGCGAACGTATCATAGTATAGGTATATTACAGCTTATAAATAAAAAATAGGTTAGTTTTAGGATGTTTCAACAAAATTTTATATAGCTTTTAATTAGTACTTATTACGACTCGGTTCACTGAGATTTTCTATGTGTACCACACATCTTAAATAGTTAAATATCAGTACACGTGTTAGTAAAAAGAATAGTTGTGTAATTTTAAAAAAAGAACTCTATTTAATATAGAGGTTAATGAAAGTATCAGACGGTATGTTGGGAATAGAAAAGTCAACCGAACAGAAGAAATTCTCAGGAAGATGGATGAAGGGTATACATAGGACTTCTAGATCGATGGGAACCCGAAGTAGAAAAGTTAGGCGGGTTATGGGATATGTGGACTTTTACCATTAGAAGTTTTATTATTTGTCCTTCGACGCGCAAAGGGTTGCCCGCATTTGAAATACATAATTAAAGGAAGGATCATCAAAGAAATTGGTCGTTTGAGAAGATTTTAACTTGTGTAGAAAAGCTTTGTACGCTTTGTGTTCTTTGTACGGCTGGTTCGGCATGAGGTCTGAGACATTTGTCGTAGGGAGTTATTTACTTAACATTAAACATAATCTCTGAAATAACTGGCAATATAGCTGAGGATCAGACGGTCTCTCCGGGTTTTCAAATTAAAAACTATATGATTATGATAAACATAATAATTTAAAAAATACTATCAAAATCTTTAATGATCTTTAAAATGATAAAACAATAATGTCGATTAGATTTAGTGAGTAAAATTAAGTGTGGAACTTGAAAAATCTATGAACGTTAATTATGATAGTAAAAAAAAAAACTTGAAATTGTTTCTTTGACTTATCTTATACTTTTTTAACGCTAGAGCAAAATTATTTTTAGCGCTATTTTATAAACAATTCTCAATGGGGAAAACATATATTTAAAATGGGCGATTTTTATAATATATGTTTTAACCGGTATTTAATATGAAGAAATGTGAAGTAGATGTTTCAAATTTGATTACATTCCATTCTTTTCAAATTACTCGATAACTTTTCCCGTAGAACAAACAAAGAAGCTTACCCTCACAGTGTACCAAATACATTAAAAAATATTTGTATGTTCAAAAAAAAAAAATTGCCCAGTAATATTAACATTTTTAGCACGATAGTGGAAGTATGTAGTTATAAAAAAAAAAAGTACAGTAAAAAGAAGTTTGCAGTTTATAAAAATAAAAAGTGATAGCCGTTAATTTTGTTTTATGTAATCTGTAAGTCCGTAAGAAAATAATGATTTATTTTGGTTTTTAAGTTAAGTCAAAGTTTTAAGGTTAACTACCAACGGATCCAGAACAAATTTTTGTTTACATAAGGATCTCACACTCCGCTGTGTTTGAAACGATTTAAATAAATAGTTATACTATTAAAATGAAAGTTATAGCCTAGATTAGCCTTACTTGCCAAGCCTTTTGTCATTTGTAATATTTGTCTTGAAGAATTCATGTGAAACGCAAATTATTAAAAATGGAATTATTAAATTTTTACTAATGCTACTGCGTACTTAGTTGTTTTAATTATTATTATATAATAATAACCCTGAGCAACAAAGTCAGTGACAAATGGATTTACTGTATATAAAAATAGTATAAGTTTCACAAAAATGTTGAAAATTTTTCATTTTTACAAAAAAAGATAAAAAATGTAGTTAATATTTTTGTTTATCTATAAAACAAGTGTTTAAATTAGCCATTTAAACGTTATGTATTCAACATTAACTCATTTAAATAAAAAGCCCGAAACACTTTAAGTAAGTTTTTGAAACGAAGTACGTCTTTGGTTTATTTGCCTCGTTTTAGAGTTACTTGTTTAATAATTATTTAATTTTTTTTATAAAAAAATCTACGTATCACTGTGTAAGTTAAACGCACATGGAAATAGAATACGTTTTTTTATTAAAACCCTGAAAAAACTCGTATAGCTAAAATAAAGATATTTTTTTATGTGCAGTTTATCCGAATCAATGGAGATATGAACAATTGTTTCGTTATTTAATAACAGCAACTCTACAGTTACAGTTCAGTGTTTGCAAGTTCATTTTCGAAATGAGAAGTACATTGAATATGTTCAGTCGGAAATGTAGTAATTGTCACACATGAAACACGCCGGCATGAAAACGACATGATAATATATTTAATGTATTATGATGTTACTTGGAGGTCTACGCAATTTTTAATATTATTTTTTCCTGCGAACGCGTCGAGTTTGAAAATAAATAACATAAGTGGTATTAAATCATACTAGTATATTTTTGTATGTTTGTACCTACTACCTACTATAATATCAAGTATGTATCTAAGTCTAAAGAAAGTTATAATTGTAGTTTCAAACGAAATAAAAACAACTGATTTTTTTTTTTTGTTATGGTAAGTATTTTATAGTTTGTGCTGTGAAAAACGTTCAACGGTGTAATGTGGTAACATTTAATATTTTAGACTATCGGGTGTAATTTTGTCAAACAGAACAAATAATTATGTGAGTAAATTAATGTGAAACTATCAAGAACCAACACCTAGGTGTATAATAATTATAATACAAAAAAACGCATCGAAAATCGAACGATAATATCGCTTTTTATGTCATTTATTAAGGTAAGATAATTTTTTAATTAAGTTTCATAAACATAAACAATGTTCTTCTCTTACGAGTGGCTTGAATCAACAACGACTGCTGCGGTGAATAATATTAGTTTAGCGATAAAAATCGTTTTCCGCAGTAACACGGTAACACTATTAATGAAGTATTTTAATTTAATAATAGGCATTAGTAAAAGTCGCGTACGACCTGATTAGTTTTAAAGTAAATTAATCACAAACTCAATTATGTGTGCGGCATGGTAATAATAATTATTTATTATAGTATTATTATCAACACAATCGCGACGGATTACTATGATGATGATTAATGGTATCGGCGTACGGCTTAAAATATATTATTACTGTTTCTATGTACTCGCGTGATTGATTTACATATATTTTAATATATAACTACTTATTTAATAAATTTAAAAAAGTAATAAAGCGTATCAAACGTTTGCGAATAAAACCGCATAGGTACCTATCACTTTGATTTTTATGTTTTTTATGATGTAATCGGAATTTAAAAATGAAATAATAATTATTATTATTATTGTTATACGTATTTTTATCGAATTTTTATTGTACACGCTTGGAAAACTTTTATCGTGTGACGTTGGTTTTAACTCCAATATAATGTACAATGTGTATATATATGTCGCTTATGCTCGTCAGAGTGTAAAATAAAAATTATATATATATATATATATATATATATATATATATATATATATATATACCTATACATAAATGTAACGCACTATACTATTATTATAATATACTCGTATATGGAGACTGTTGTGCAGTTTGCCTGGAGTACAGATTATGAAGATTGAAAAGCCTTTAACAATTGGCCGGTGGACGTTTAGACAACAGCTATCCGATTGGATAAACCGACAAAATAGGATACATAATAACATATTATTCTTCTCGCTATTATTATTTTCCCTTAGCAACAGAGAATACCACTACTACTATAATATTATACTATAATGCAGCTGTAGAATACTAACCGGAACAATGAAATTGTATCTACCGAATTAACCTAAGTGCATTATTTTTGGTCCGACTAGAGCTTATACGAAACTAAACTTTGTTCTATATATATATATATATATATATTTTTTTTTTTCCTAAGCAATGCGGGAAGATACCTACAAGAACACCTGTGCGCGTTTTACCGGTACGGTACTTATTATAATGTGCAAACAAAAGTGTAAAAAAAATTCAACATCCACGCAAACCCCTTAACAGCCGTAGGTACCGCATAACGGGTCACAAAAAAGATTACCAACAATAGTTTAAGAAGAATTAAATTAATATTTTATGTTTAACATTAGTAATAGTAGTAGATAGTAATAATAATTGTAATAATAAATCCTCGAGCGGTAATTTTTCTTTCTGGTATTTTTCCATTTATTTTATTCGCTCTTTTTAATTATAATATATATTAAAAAATATACACACAAAAGCGATCCGACCGAAACTGAGTCATTTCAAACGCGATACTACAGTTGCAGCATGTTATATAACAATTATTTTTCGAGATTTCCGGTGTGACTAACTACAGTAAAGAAATCGTGAGTCTTACCTTGGTGAAGTGCGAAGGGCCCGCGACCGACTGATGCGGTTCTGTGTGAGTACAGCGTTGGCCGCCAAACACAGTGCGCCACCGACCCGCGGTCCCTGGCGCATACGCCTAGAGCTTTGGCTTTTGTTCGCCGTGGTCACGACTTGTGGGAAGCACGAAAAGAAGCACAACAAGTAAGTTTACGTATACCAGAGAGCAGGTGAAATATATTTGGTAACCGGTGACAAAATAACAAGCTACCGTTGGCCTAGACCGTAGTCCTGTTTAACGATTATAAGTATATTTTTAAATACACTTATTTTTAATAAAAAAATTAAACTATTGTAATAAAATGATTTTTCTAACGGTCAGTTAATTAAAAAAAGTAAATATTATGATTTTAAAATCGAAGACATCGTTTAAAATGGGGTTTGTTAAATTATATGACTAATCAAGGTAAATGTGCATTACAACTTATCACAACCATCTTAATTTTCTAACTGAATCTATAATTTATATGCCTACTAAAACCACAATGTATGTGAACATTACTTTTCTGACATGACTAAATGTAATACCTAATATTGTGTAGAGAATGTACACAACCATATTATATTAGATATGACATTTTTTTTTCTTTTCAAAAAAAAAAAATTAATTTCTACGAGCCAGTTTAATGTGTATCCAAATTAGATCATCTATATCTATAATATATAATATTTCTTTAATTTAACTATATTGTTTAACTTCAATTAATTTTATAACTCACCGTAAATTTTATTTTTAAGGAGGATAATAATTGACGGTTAGAAATAATAGTTTAAATATTCAAGACAAATTAAAAAAAAATCATGTTATATAAAGTAAAACTATATGTACCTAAATCGAAATTAACTTTTTAAATTTTTTTTGGTATTATCGATAAAATTCGGTGTATGATTCTTAATGCACATAAAAACATTCGCTTTAGCTTAATATCACGTTTACACAAGGGAAAATAATACTTATAATACTATGTAGTATATTAAGAAATAGTTTTTAATGTATAGATAATGTTTTCTATGCATGCAATTAAATTGTGTATGACATAAATATTAATGACGGCCATAATTAAAACAAAATATTGATATTTATTTATTTTTATAATTTTGGCTTCGACGTTCAAAACCATTTTTTCCATAATAAAATAAATGATTGAAAGTCTTTTATATTTCTATAGTTTGTAATAGTTATGTGTTATGTTTTCTTGATGATAATACTCAACGCTGGTCAAAGATAGTGGTCTCATAATTTTACAACCATACGTCAAGCTAGTGTATCTATAGTTAAACGCCATTGAATGGTAGAAAAAACTAAATTGTCAAATGGATCAAAGCCCCAGTGTTTTAAAACTCGTTTCATGGTTTTTGAATCGAACGTTTCGATTATCTAATACCATATTGCATTCCCCGGAGACCTGAGTCCATATTACTCCAATCGTAGTATGTCGGTTCATGTGGTACTTATATGGCATCTTGTGTATATAAAATGTATAGACAATATATACTGTACAGTATATACACTATTCAACATCTATTTTCCTTTTGTATTTTGACCAGAAATAAAAAATTAAATTTTATCTTCGCAGACAATTTCGAATTATTAACTCATAGTGTTATTATTTTTCTCTGGCAATTGAAACGACATAACTGGATCTTTTAAAACAATTAAAACAATTCAAAACTAAGCTTTAATGTACATACAAGATGTAACAATTAATGCGTATCTCACATCACATTATAGGGATTAAGATCCATAAAAAGTTTTAATTAAGTAAAAAAAATGTAAAAATTAAATTATGAAAAAATTAATTGAAAACTTTAGTTTAAAAATTGTAAACAAATGAGATTATGAATAACTCATAAACCTATAAACTGCTATATATTGATATTTTTAATTAATCAATTTGTAATTTTTTATTGTTAATAATATGCGTCAAAAGAAAACTATATTTTAAATAACTACACGCAGCGTTCAAAATATGAAACATTCTTTTGTTTTTTAAATAAATTTTATTGGTTATATTGTTTATGTGTGCGTGTTAAAAAAATGTATTCTATAAAAATAGGTTATTTCTTAGAAGAAAGTAAAGCTTATAACTAAAATACTATGATATGTGTTAGGAAAACTTCTAAGGTATACCCAGTTTAATATATTATGGTTTTAAAAGTTTTCGACAGTAAAAAAGCAATTTATATATACTTAAAGTATAATGTAAAAATATTTATAATGAGTCGTGGGTCATGACGATACATTTTTTTCGTTAATTTTTTAAAAATTATAATTGTTTATAATATAAAATATACATAGTAACACAAAATATTTACGAAATAATTGAAGATGACAAAATAAAAGCTCTTAAAACCTTTTTAATATTAATTACCTACCCTTAACTTAATATTTTGAGTCCTAAAATTGATCAACAATGTCAATTAAAAAAACAAATCACTTAAATAATATAAATATAAGTTTAAATTTAGTTGAAGACATTATTTTTAATATAATGGTACAACACGGTAATAGGTTGTTTTTGAATAAGTATTTTTTTTTTGTAAATATAAATCGTATTATTTTAATTTATCCAATTAAGTATTTTATTTTTAAATTAAAAATCGAAATTATTAACAAAGTTTATGGTAATCTATTTAAATACACAACCAATCGATTTTGCTTAACATGGATGGATAGATGGATGAACAACTCATGCGACCATACAAGTTTATTAGCAAGTTTTGTAGGCTATAAAAACATTTTAAAATGTTTACCTTGTATTGATTGGATACAAACCTTAAAAATTTCTAAAAAAAAAATCCAATCTTAAGAATCTTACACTGAGTAATTTTACTTTCGCTGTGATAAAAAATAAAAAAATGCGTATTTTCTACTCGATTTTTATTCATTGGCCGATCGTTTACGAGTTTTTTTAATTTAATCATGAAATACTTTTAAAGAGAGAGTCTGTCATTTTTTACAAATAGTTATATTCAACAAAGTTAAAGGAAAGAGAAATTTAATAAAGCAGGCAATATTGAAACAAGCCAAATTGGGATTCGACGTCTATCAGATTGTGGATAATAGATGTATTCATTTGGAAGATATTATACCCTTATCAGGAGGCTATGAATAACGCTCCAATGTAAACTTAATATTATTTTAATTAGTGCTACTAGTAATTATCCGACTCAATATTGTGGTAAAATAATCGAAAATTGTGTGGACAAAATTTCTATTCACAAAACTAATTTTGTATTCTTTTTCTTTTGGTTAAATTTTCTCCGCAAAATATAATCATTTTCGGATCTATATTTTTAAATTTATGGTTTAAAGATGTATATTTGATGTAATATAATATTTATTACACTTTTAACATAAGCTCTGCTTTTGTTTGTTTTTATATAGTATCAAAGTTCAATATCTATTTAAGTTGTAACAATGTTTCGTTTCTAATTACTTTTTGAGATTTATGATCCATATTCAACTGAAACGACTATTGAGAAATTAATCTTTCCGGTTACAAATACTATTATATCCTAATAATAATTAATTGGGATTCCAAACAATATTTTATACAAGCAGCACAGTCATTATTATATTTAATTTATAATAAAATATAGCTTTTTGTAATGGCTAGAGTATTTTTATTTTTTGGACTATGGTTTTTGATATAAACCTCATTTTTGGAAAAATCTGTTAACTCATTTATGACCATGCACCGAAGATATTTTAAGTGGATTTACGTGGCGTATGCTTTTAATGTATTTAACATTGTAGAACAATAAGAAAGTAAGCAATGCAGTTGATAGATAAGTAATTTTAAGATGTAGTTGTATATATTAAATGGATAAGTACCGCGTGTGTTAGTGCCAAAAAAATAATGGTTTAAGTTTTCGTAGCCTGTAAAGTGCCTATTAATAAATATCCATTTATAAGCAACACATTATATTTTGCTAAACATAAAAAAAATTATTTACTAGCTGAGTAGATTTAACTGTTTTTTTTTTTGCATAACACCAAAAAAGTTTCCAAAATATCAAAAGCATATTTAATTTTTATATTTCCAGAGGATTAAATATGTATGTAATATACTTAATCAAATTTTGGAGTAGAAAGTGCACTTCTATTACGTAAGTCTGTCATAGATAAAAATATTATCGAGTTTAGATAAGTATAATATATTTTGTTTTGTATTATATATTAATTATTGAACACATTTTAAACTATGTGTAACGCCAAATTATATGGAGAAAGTTATGCACTTAATAAGTAAACTGTATGCTTAGAACTTTAATTAAATGTATTATGTGTAGAATAATTTCAATTAAAAGTTTACCATATCTTATAAACCATTGCATGCGTCCATTATGTAAGAATAGCCATTATCATCAATTAACAATAATTTGACACGACAGAAGCAAAATATTTCTGATACAACAACACAATATGTCATAACAGCTCTGGTTTTGAACGTTTTATAGTCAGATCACTGTCTGTTTAATTTACCTAACTAAATAGATCCGTCGATCATGAAACTGAACATTTCATCTAAAAGAAAACGTTTAAATTTTCTCGTTCCTAGCTTGCTGTTTTACAAGATAAAATAAAAATACAATCGTTTTTGAACAATACTAACGGCTAACTAATAACACTATTGTGAATTATGTTTTGGGTTCATTGAGTGATTTATTTTACTTGTTTAACAGATCTTTAACCATTTAGAACTGTGTAATATAACTAGTAGGTGAACTATTATGTTGATAAAATATTAGATAAAGAAAGACGTCTATAATATTTCTAACGTTAAATTTATTATATATTGGAATGCCTACATAATTCTGAAAGTTAAAATTTTCAAAGTAATGCTTGCGTGAAATTGCATGATTATATTCGAGTAAAAAAAACAAGATACAAATTATTTTATACACTGAATGACGTAAAGCAGTTTTCAGAATTTAATTATAATCTGTTATTTTATGTATTAAGAATACTTGGTAAAATGTTCTTGCAAATTAGAAACAGAATAGTAGTATT